GCCGGGTGCAGGCCCTGGACTCCTACCCGGTGGTGAGGGCTCCCTGGGCCTGGCGGGGAGACCGAGCGCGCCCGGGGCGCCGCGCTTTGCCTGAGCGTGGACCCTCCCACCATGGAGGAATCAGGGGGCGGGAGAGCTCGGGGACAGCAGCTGGTGGAGGGGGGCGCGGGGGAGCCTGAGAGAGGGGAGGGCCCTGTCCCCTGTCACCCCGAGCGTAGGACGGGGGCCGGGCTGCGGGCCGGGTGCCTGCTCGTTGCCGCCTGAGGTCTTACACGTGTGTCTTTCTGTTGAGGTGAATCTGATTCATGAGCCCCTGGTGATATTTGTTTGTGCAACTACAGGCCAAGGAGACCCCCCCGACAACATGAAGGTAAGGCCGCCCTGAGGTGGCTGCGTGTGCTCAGGAGCTCAGACCCCTGCCCGGGACCCTCCTCCTGTATTCACTGCCCGGAGGGTCTGAAACGCAAAGGAAATACTGGCGCTTTGACAGTGCTGCAGCCTGGCCATGGATTTGAGAGTATACTCTTGGGTGGAGCTGGGGCTCCCTAATAAACTCATCACAGGTCACCGTCTTAACCTTTCTTATTTTTCCAAGGCTGTGTATGAGTCTGGTCTGGGTCTTACGTCTACTTCAAAGCAGTTTGACCTTCAGGGAACACTCTTCAATTCTCTGACCATCTTTTGGGCACACATTATATTTCAGGCATGATCCAGGGTTAGGAATCAAGTCATGAAGCCAGTGACCACATTTCTACCCTCACGGAACTAACCACACAGCAGAAACGACAGGTTTAACAAGCAGTTGCAATGCCAGGAAGTCCATGCTGCTGGGGAGAGCGCCCCCATGTTGTGGAGCTGTAATAAGGGCTGTCTGTCCCAGTCTTAGGGGCTCACAGAGAGCTTTCTGGAAGAAAAGATTGTAAGCTAAGACCTGAAGGATACATGAGGGCTAGACAGGCCCCAGGAGAGAGGGAGCAGCCTGTGCAAAGGAGAAAGACAGCCCAGCCTCTGGGAAGAGTGAGAAGCAGTTCAGGATGGCCGAGCCAAGGAGCGTGTTGGGGGAGGAGGGGAGAAGAGTCAGGAAGCGAGGCCCAGTCCAAGAAGCCAGGCTGCCACAGATGGGCTGGAAATGAAGGGCTCACAGGGTGACAGTCACATTCACATTGGGACTCACAGGGTGACAGTCACATTCACATTGTAGCAAAACCACCACTTGTCTGTGGGGGGACAGGCTGTAGGAAAGCGAGAACAGCATCAGTGAGTGCACAGCACAGGTAAGAGACTAAAAGTGAACACATTTCAGAGATATTACAGTAGACTCAGCAGGACACAGAATCAAACGGATTTCAGAGATGAGAAAGACAGGGATTCACGCTCAGCTACCAGGATAGGTGGTAGCTGCATGCACAGAAATAGACTGGCGAGGGCCCGGTGCCTGGGAGTTGTGCAGGTGGAGATGTGAGGTAGGTCTGGAGCTCCCGGGAGGATCCTGAATAGAGGTAGATGTTGGAGAGGCCAAAATAGGAAGCCTGAGAAAGGAAGCTGCTCCCTCCCCCAGGACAGGGTGTGAGGGGGCAGGAAAGTGGCCCCAGCAGCAAGAAGAGGGAATGCGCCATCTCCGTGGTCAAGGGTAGGGAGGTGACTGTTTCCAGAGGAAGGTCTCCAGCACTCAGCTGCAGGGAAGTGAAGTCAGATAAGGCCTGATGCATCCTCGGGGTTTATCAGCAGTGGGACTGGGGACCTTGGGGAGAGAAACTGGATAACAGGGTCATAGGCGATTAACGAGGGAGGGGAGGAAGGAGGGAGTGGAGAGGATCTTTCAGGAACATCTACAGGAACTCAGGAAGGCTTCTGTGAATGGGCTAAGGGAGTTAAAAAGAAGGTATTTACAAGATGGGAGAGACTCAGGTGCTGGTGGGGGGCAACGGCTGAAGACTGAAGAGCAGGATCGGAGTAGGGATGATGTGGGGGTTGGACCCCAGCACAGGGTCTCCTCAGACAGGAAAGAAGGCAAGTTGGAGGGGATCAAAGGTAGGAGGTGAAGGGTGGGTGTGGGAGATGCAGGGCTCGGGCAGGAGGAGTTAAAAACCTCATCAGCTGGGCTGGGAAGTCAGGGCAGAGGTGCAGGTTCAATATCATCGTCATCGGAAGCGAAGAGCACAAAGGGGGTTGCGAGCATGCTGGGATGAGGGCTGGTGAAGAGGGCAGAGTGCAGGGCTTTGCACCCCCCATGGAGGCCCTCCCCAACCACAGCAGGGACTGGAGGCCTCGGTGCACGGAAACGGGGGCATGGTTCCTACTGAAAACCAGGCTCAGTGAGCAGCTGTGTACTAAACAAGAAGACACCAGCCTCCTTGCCACAGCCCCCTGAGAGCGCTGTGGTAAGGTGTGCACTCCCAGGCAGCAGACGGGACAAGCACTCTGAGAAACCAAGTGACTGCAGTGGAAGGCTGGGCAGCCAGGTCCCTGCCCCATCTCCTAGCTGTGAAACCCACTGGGAGACTGGCCCAAACTCATACTTTCCTGCCAGGTTCTTAAGTACAAGCAGAACACCAAGAGCCAGCATACACTGTGGGCAGGACCCCCATGAAAGATGGACCAGGAGAAGCATAGAGTGCTCAGGCCAGGTGCTACCTGCAAAGGGAAACTCGGCCCCCACGGACTGCGTGGGAGACTGACACACGCTCTTTGAAATAATACCAAGACGATCTGAAAAGATAAAGTTGAGAAGTTCTTCTGAAGGTATAACAAAAAATAAGATGGGAATAGGAAAGAAGACATTAAAATTCTAAGATCGTTCAGTAGCCTCAAAATGAGAACAAGTAGAGAGAAAGTTATCACCGAAAGTAACAAGCTGTCCCAGAACTGAAGGACAGGTCTCCAGCGTGAGGGGGCCCTCCACGTGCCCAGGAAGAGCCCGCCGGGCACACAAAGGCCTCCCACCCAGCGCACGCTCTCATGGGCTTCAGCGGTGTGGGGCAGAGCTGGGCTAAGAGGAGCACGAGCTCCTGAGCAGTGACTGCCCCCCAGACTGACTCGGAGCAAAGCCTTGGGTTCTTAGGGAAGGCGACCAACCTCAGTACCCGCCAGTCACCAGTCAGTGTGCAGAGAACAAAGGTGTGCTCAGACCTGTGGTCACGAGAACCTCACCTTCCCTGGGTCTTTCACTGGATGTGCCCTGGGGTATGTTCTCTGTGGGCTTCAGGAAACCAAGGTCTCAGGAGGCAGAGCAGGAGTGGTCCCCAGTGGCGGCCTATACAGGAAAGGCCTTGAGAAGGCCACAGGTTGGGCTAGGGCCAGCAGGCAGAGCTGTACCTCAACAGGGCCAGGGGCTGACCACCCCACTGGCGTCAGTTGAGGGAGGCATGAAACAGAAGGGAGGGGGCGGGAGGTGAGGCCTGGACCACATGCAGAGGTCCATGTGGCTGGGCCCAGGTCAGCACAGGCTGAAGGTGCCAGGAAGCTGTGCCTTAAAGGTACCTGTGCAGACCCGTGAGTCCTCGGCCAGCACACAGCCACCTGCTAGTGGCCCAGGGCCCAGGGGGGAAGGTTCTGCTGAGTGGGGTGAGCTGAGGCTGCAGAGGCCCAAACCCGCCACGAGGGACCCAGGGACATGGGACTTTTGGTGTGAATAGAAGTCTTGCAGGGGACCCAAGTAGGAGCAGGCGCTGCCTTCCACCTGGGGAGAGTTGGGGCGGTTGGCAGTGCCTCCATCCTCACCAGCTGTACCCTGCGGAGAAGCCCAGACTTCTTGCAGAGCCCTCTGCCCGCGGCAGGAGTGGAGCCTCACACTCTATGGTAGTGGCTCTGGGGCAGCTGTTTCAGTGTTCTGCCTCTCCTCAATCTCTTGCCATTGTGATAGAGTAAAAAGCAGCCTTAATGACAGCTTAGGGCAGGAGAGCAGGGCCCTGGCAAGGCCCAGGACCCACCTTGGGGTGCCAGAGCAGGGCCCCTAACTCAGTTTCTTCTGGTGGCAGAGCTTCTGGAGGTTTATATTCAGGAAGAACCTGCCGTCCACCTCACTCTGCCAGATGGACTTTGCCGTCCTGGGCCTCGGGGACTCCTCTTACGCCAAGTGAGTAGGGGCAGCCAGGCTGCTGGCCAGCAGGGCTGTCCTCGGGGCTGCGTGCAGGGTGTCCTGGTGGGAAGAGGTGACCCAGCCTCCAGGACTCCCACCCGACTTTGGGCCTCGGCCCTGGCCATGCGCCCTTGTCCCATGGACACTCCCAGTGGGCTCCTTCATGGGGCTTGTAGGGTGGACAGGTGCAGAATGGGGCCCAGCTTGGGGGCACTAAGGAGACTTCCAGGGTGGGAGCTAATGTCAGATACCAGCCAGCGTCAGGTGTTCACAGGTGGCTCAGGACAGCAGAGACCCACCTGGCTCTTGCCTCACTTTTATCAAAACACATTTCGTGAAACAGCGCAGTGGGAATGGGCAGTGGGTACACAAGAGCTCCAGGCCCAAGGAGCCACCCCAAGGCCCCCACTTGCCTGGCCGGGCAATGTCACCATCTCGATTTTCCCCTCAACGTCTTCATGACGTGTCTGTGTCCTAAGCAAGGGGCAAGGTTGCTGTGGATCATCTCCCAGGTATGTGCCGGCTGCGTGGCATCGAGTCACCGGACCTCGGAACCTGACTCTCAGCCCGGGCTGAGGGGTCCTGGGGTCCCCATGCCTCCAAAGCCAGACACAGTGGGAGGAGGCGCACGCCCACCCTGGAGAAAAGGGAAGAAAGTGGTGACCGCGTGGCCCTCGTCTGTGGGATTTGTTCTGTGTGTAATGGCAGCACACACACCCGGGGGCAGTGGGAGTCCCTGGTGCTGACAGCGTCCCCCCAGAGGGCTCCTCCAGGGAGTGGGCAACGACCGCGGGGAGATGTGGGATGCCCCCTGCGCTCCAGGGGCCCGGGATCCAGGGTCTCACACAGCTCTGCCCTCTGCCCTGTGTGGCCAGCTGGGCCGCTCCCCTCATCTCCTGCCCAGTGGCCCCAGCAGCCTCACTCTCTGCACAGGTTCAATTTTGTGGCCAAGAAGCTACACCGCAGGCTGCTGCAGCTTGGGGGCACCGCCCTCCTGCCTGTGTGCCTGGGTGACGACCAGCATGAGCTGGGGTGAGTGTGGAAGGGGGCGCCTCCCACGGGCCCAGCCATGGGCAGGTTCCCTTCATACCAGCGCCTGTGACCCCTCTCCAGGCCCGATGCCGCCATCGACCCCTGGCTGCGAGACCTGTGGGAGAAGGTTCTGGGACTGTACCCCGTGCCCCTCGACCTCGGTGTGATCCCCCCTGGAGTCCCGTGAGTGTGGGCCTACGGGTGCAGAGGAGCGGCCTAGCCTCCAGGCCTCACTGCCGCTGGTCTGACGTGTGCATGTCCTCTCCACAGTTTGCCTTCCAAGTTTGCCCTGCGGTTCCTTCAGGAGGCCCCCAGGAAGTGCTCTGTGGAACAGCACGTGGCCAGGACAGAGCCTCCGAGTTCCCCTTCGGAGCTGCAGCCCTTCCTGGCACGTATGGTCACCAACCAGAGGGTCACCGGCCCCTCGCACTTCCAGGACGTCCGTCTTATTGAGTTCGACATCACAGACTCTGGCATCAGGTGAGGAGGGGTCCGTCCTGGGGACCGTGGAGGGTGCCGTCATGGCAATGGGGCCACGGCCCGAGTGCAGAGGTCCTCTCCCCAAGCCAGAGGCGGGTACTCAGCAGGCGGAGCACAGGCCGGGCTGCAGGGGAACACCTTGTCCAAGGGCCCCAGCCCTCCCTGGACACTGGCTTCCGTCCCCCTGCCCCGAGTCCCCACCATGGCTTTCCCACCCAGCTTTGCGGCCGGTGATGTGGTGTTGATCCAGCCTGAGAACGCGGCCAGACACGTCCAGCATTTCTGCCAGGTGCTGGGCCTGGACCCCGACCAGTCCTTCACACTGCACCCTCGAGAACCAAGTGAGTTGCGGGCCGGGCTGCCACCCTTACTCCCACCCTCCCTTGAGTCCCTGGCTCCCCACCATCTTCTGCTCCCGGCCTCAGATGTCCCCTGCCCCGAGCGGCTGCCCCAGCCCTGCTCTGTGCGGCACCTCGTGTCCCAGTACCTGGACATCGCCAGCGTTCCCCGACGCTCCTTCTTCGAGCTCCTGGCCTGCCTGTCCCCCCACGAGCTGGAGCGGGAGAAGCTGCTGGAGTTCAGCTCTGCGGAAGGCCAGGAGGCACTACACGAGTACTGCAGCCGGCCCCGCAGGACCACCCTGGAGGTGCGGACCGGCAGGAGGTGGGGACCTGGCAGGCCCCGGGCAGCCCTGGCAGAGCCACGTGTGGCCTTGCTGGCTGCCGCCCTCCTGAGGCCGTGTCTGTGCAGGTGCTGTGTGACTTCCCACACACTGCGGCAGCCATCCCCCCGGACTACCTGTTGGACCTCATCCCCCCAATCCGGCCGCGTGCTTTCTCCATCGCCTCCTCTCTGCTGGTGAGGGTCCCTGGGAGTGGGGTGCACACCAGGTAGCCTTGTGGGCAGGCACCCACATTCCCATCCTCCAGGCTCACCCCACAAGGCTGCAGGTTCTCATGGCGGGCAGGCACCCACCCCCCATCCTGTCCCCAGGCTCACCCTGCAAAGCTGCAGATTCTCGTGGCTGTGGTGCAATATCAGACCCGCCTCAAGGAGCCCCGCCAGGGCCTCTGCTCTTCCTGGCTGGCGTCTCTGGACCCTGGGCAAGGTGAACCCTGCTCCCTGGAGGGTGGGGTGGGCCTGAGCTAGGGCCCTGGTCCTCCAAGGCTCTTCACACCACTTCACTCTTGCAATAGGCCCTGTCCAAGTGCCCCTGTGGGTGAGGCCTGGGGGCCTGACCTTCCCACAGACACCAGACACGCCTGTGATAATGGTGGGGCCCGGCACTGGTGTGGCCCCCTTCCGAGCAGCCGTCCAGGAGCGAGTGTCCCAGGGTCAGAGGGGTGAGTGCATAGGGTGGGGGG